CTGGCTCCATGGAGAGAGACACTCGCTGTGCCCACCCCATCCCGGGCCCTGGGCTGGGAGCCACGGGCAGGCGACCCCTGGTCTCCTGGGGCCCAGGTGCCAGCGGGGATGGTTCCAGACCAGCATTCTGCCACCTGGGCACGACCCTGGGGCTGGGTCCCTCCCGGCTGCGCGGGGCTGTCTTCTGCATCTCGAATGCTTAGCGGCACCTCGGGCAGCAGCGCCCTGGACATGACCCTCCGCGATGCCTCCAGACCTCACCTAGTGCCCCCGCCGGGTGGACCCCCACCCTCCCCATGGGCCGGAGCTCCGTGAGGGACACGCCCTGCCGGCCTCCCGCTCAGCTGTCCTGCCCCGGGACTCAGTAGCAAAAAGATGCGGGGGAGATACACTCATTCTCAAACACATTTTATTTCACCCAGTACAGCCACAGCATGGTCACCTCCACATGTGATTCACACAGAAAGTTATCACAGAGATTCTACATCGTCTCCTCCCACTAAGTGTTCGGAACCCGTGGCCTCTCAGACTCGGCACACCCGTGGGGCGGCCACCACGGAGGACCCAGCTCCTCGGGAACAGCAGAAGCGGGAGCCTGGCCGGCCAGAGGGTCCCCGCAGGTAGCACCGCATCACCCAGGGACGGTCAGAAATGTGGGCTCAGGCGCCTCCCAGCCCTGCTGGTTCGGAATCTGCGCTTTAACGGCCTCCCAGGTAACCGGGGGCGCGAAAAGGTGCCGAAGGCCTGGGCAGGGCGAGGGGGTCCCGGGCCCAGGTGCCAGGCCCTTCAGGGGTGACTGCAGTCGGACTGGCTCAGTTCGCAGACGCTGCGTCTTTCCGTCAGTGAGCCTGGCCCTCAGTCTGCCCATCCGCAGGAGAGGGTGATGGAGGCTCCTTCTCCGGGTTGGGTGGAACTCAGTGCCAGCTCCGGGTGCACCGTCCCCTCTGCCCAGCCTCCTGAGGACGGGTGGATGGGAGGCAGTTTCTGCTTCCAGGGAAGCCGCCCGGGAGGGGAGACCCCAACCCCACGGCAGGCCCGGAGGTGGGACCCGTGGAGCAGCCTGGGTGGGGCCTCACTGCAAGCAGGTGGGTGCGGGCGCGGCGCTCACACTCACACACCCAGGAGCTGGCACGGGGGGCGTGTGTGCGGAGGGGGCAAGGCGCGGCCACCTGAGTGTCTGTCCCCCAGGCCAGAGCACCATGACATGGTCATCAAGGAGCTCTTCCAGCCCCCCCCGCCCGCCGTCCTTCCTCAGGAAGCCCCTCCTCGGTCTCCCCCTGCGGCTCCAGGGCCACCCTCACCCCCAGCCCCAGCCCAGCCCTGATCGATCAATTGATCAATCGGGTAAAGCCCAGTGCTCCCCTCTGAACCTCTGGCATTTCCAGTTACAACTCCTCCAAAGTCAAGGTGCTGATCTCACCCCCGCCCCCAGGCGGCCTCACTTCCTTTCCCTTTCAGCTGCCTCTGCGGCTCCCCAGGCAGCCGGAGGGAGGGGTGACGGAGAGGTCAGGAGGGGGCCGAGCCTGAACCCTGCTGAGAGGGGGTGAGCAGCCCCCCAGCCACAGTGAGGTTCAGGTGAAACCAACGGTACACGTGCAGGCAGGGATGGGTCAGGCAGGGATGGGGCAGGGGGGATGGGGGCAGGGATGGGGGCCTGGCCCAGAAGCCTCAGGGGGAGGGAACCCCGTTCCCCTGCAGCCCCTTCCTGGGGAACAGCCAGATGCTGCGTCGGGGTCCCTGCTGTGGCACCTCTAGGGGAGACACTGGTATTTATGAGGGTGAACACAGCCATGGGGAGGTCAGAGGCCGTGGGCTGAGGGCGGCTTCCTGCGCAGTGACCCTGGGTAGGTCACTGAGTCCCTCTGCCCTCAGCGGCCTCCTCTAAGCCGGTCACTTACAGCTAAAAGCCCCTCGCAGAGCTGTCTAGCAGCACATGACACGCAGCCGAGTTGCTCACACCCAGCACCTGGCCCTGTTACCACGACTCCTTGGTAATGAGTTGCTGGAGGCCACGCAGCGCGAGCAGAGCGGAGTCCCTCGGACCGCCTGAGGCCGGAGGCCCAGCGCCCACCCTCCCCCCCCAGGCTGACTCACAGACAAACCAGCTCCCGCCTCCTGACCCGCAGCCCTCCCTCCGGCAGGCTCGCATTTCTGCGCAGGGAGTGGACACCTATTGCTTTTGCCTCCCAGCAACCCTTCCCTTTCATCCTGGAAACAGCATTTCTTTCCCAGCCTGTGCGGTATTTCTGTTGAGAAAGAAGATTTCTCTCAGGTGAGGTGGTTATGCTGCTAGAATGTGGGCCTGGAGCTACTGGGAAGATTCTCGCCACCCCTACCACAGCCCCATCGTGCGCCTACGAAGGCAGAGCTGAGAACCAGAGGACAACAGATCCCTAACACTATCGCTTGGGCACCTGGATACAGCCATGCCTGAAGCCGCCCCCTGCCTGTCTTTCCCCCTCTCGCTGATTTAAATCCCATTTCTGTCCCTTGCAACCAAGAGTACCTGGTTGACTAATGCAAGGCTCGTGTACCTTAGACCAGACCAGACTGACTCAACAGTATAGAGACGGAAGAGGAAAAAGGCAAAACAAACAAATAAAAAACTTTCTCTTTCTTGCGCTTTCATCTTCTGGAGACGGTGCCTCGGTTAATGGTTGCTGAATGAGTGTGCAAACACTTTCAGGGGAGCCCTGCCCATGGCCACTTACTAATAACCTGGTTACCTGCGTAAACATTAGGGTGCTTTGTGCCAACCAGAGCTGTCCACGTGAAACCTGTGTCAGTGCCACAAAAATACGCCCCGCGCCGTTTCCGGCGGCCCCGCGAGAACTTGCCAGCGCTGTGAACGCCCAGCAAGGCTGCATGTCTGTCTCGGCGGCGCTGGGGACGTGTGCTGGCCGCTGCCTCCTGCAGAGCAGGAGCCATTCGGCAAATATTTACCGCCGGCTTCCGGGTGCCACTCTCTTGGGGTGTCTGAACCAGGGCCGGCAAGCCCCCGCAGGTCCGTCCCACCATGTCCCAGATAGCTAGCATTCCAGCGGACGGGACGCGAGCCCCCGCCCGCCCTTCCTAGGGCTGCGGACCCTGCCCTGGCAGCCCGGGGTCCCGACCCCAGTGCCGGCTTCGGTCCCTCGAGGCCTCAGGAGCCCATCTGTTGGGATGTCGAGTCACTGAGTCATAAAGAGGAATGTCTCCCGCTGAACATCGCACCAAAGCTGCTAGACTTGCAGCTCAGCCGGCGGTGACCCGGCTGCCCCGGGAGGGGGAGGCGTGGGAGGCGGGAGCTGCTCTGTGCAGACGGTCACCCCACCATGACCTCACCTGCCAAGTGGGTGACTCACTCCCTCTGCCCCGCCCGCCCGACCTTGCTCATGTGGAAGACCTGAGGGGAATGCCAGCCTGCGCCCTCAGTGAAGGAGAGCTGGCGATGAGCTATTTTTAAAGCCTGATGCTTTCTTGCTTTCGGTGGGAGGCGGCACCCCTGATGTGGGGCTCATGGTAACGCTGCTCCCGCCAATCAACCCGGGAAAATCCCCCGGGAGCAGGAAACGCTGAATGAGAAGGGAGCGAGCTAAGGCCACGTTCTCTTTATTTACTTTTTAATATATTTTTAAGTATATTCTTATTGATTTCAGAGAGAGAGGGAAAGGGAGAGAGAGAAGCATCCACGATGAGAGAGAATCATGGGTCGGCTGCCTCCTGCAGGCCCCCCACTGGGGATGGACCCCGCAACCCGGGCCTGTGCCCTGACCGGGAATGGAACCGTGACCTCCTGGTTCATAGGTCGACACTCAACCACTGAGCCATGCCGGCCGGGCTCTGTTTATTTTTTAAACTTTTCTCATTTTGGTGAAATATACAATTAAATGTGTCATGTCAACCATCACTGAGTGTACCATGCAGTGGCTCGAGGATAGTCACAGTGATGTACAACCACCACCACTACCTCCAGACCTTGTTCACCACCCCGAGCAGAAACTCCCCATTAAACACGACTCCCCACTTCCTCCCCCCGCCCCACCCCTGGGACCTCTGTGCTACTTCCTGTCTCTACAGAGCTGTCTATCCGAGGTCCTAGCGGGTCTTCAAGGCCCGGCCATGTGGTGGCAGGTGTCAGGGTGCCCTTCCTTTCTGAGGCTGATCACTCATCCGTACATTCTCCGGTGGACGGGCGTTTGGCTCAGTGCCCCCCTGGGCTGTGGTGGGCGGTGGGCTTTTGTCCTTACAGACCTTTCGTTTTCTTTAGCCGTTGTCTTCCCTGCAGTTTCTCGGAGTTTGCCTGGGCGTTGGGAGCGAGGTGGCCAGTTCCGACTACTTACTTCTCCGGAGTGTAGAGAAGATGGCGTTAGAGCCTGGGGAGGGAAGTGCTTTTTAACGCTGAAATGTCCTGTAAAAAAAACATGTTCTGTCGCCCTAGGCAGCTTGGCTCAGTGGATAAAGCGTCAGCCTGCTGACTGAAGGGTCCCAGGTTCGATTCCCGGTCAAGGGCACATGCCCGGGTTGCGGGCTCGATCCCCAGTGTGGGGCGTGCAGGAGGCAGCCGATCCGTGATTCTCTCTCATCATGGATGTTTCTCTCTCTCTCTCCCTCTCCCTTCCTCTCTGAAATCAATAAAAATATGTATTTTTAAAGAAAACAAGCGTCACTTCACTGGAAGTGGGTGCAGCCAGCCAATCTCCTGCAGAGAATCATGAGCAAGTGCCCCGGGGACAGATAAGAAGAAGAAGGGGAAAGGACACCTGGGGGACTAAACCCACCGGCGGGCACTGCTGCCTTCCAGCCGTGTGCGGGGTGAGAGCCTCTGAGACCTGGACCCCGCACCCAGGTCCCCCGAGGCAGGGCCCCCGCAGCGCACCCTCAGGGGAGGCTCCGGACCACAGCCAGTGTGAGTGGGCTGAGCACCGGGTCAGTCCCGGGGGCAGGCTGACCTCACCAAGGCTGCCGAGATGCTGTCGTCTCCATGGCAACAGAGGTGAAGCAGGAGGCGCCGCCAGAGTGCTGTCACCCTGCGGCACCAAAAGCCCCCGCCCCCGCGCAGCCCGGTCCCCGCG